AAGGGGTTCCCAGTCAGCCCTGCCCTCTTCCTGGGATTCCTGCACTCCCCCGGCCCAGGCCGCACCTAGGGGCTGGTTTTCACACACAGCCTGCACCCATGACTTCATAAGGCGGTTCAGGATGCGTTGCTCATGGACCGGGAACACTTGCTGGATGATCCCACGGGCCGCCAGCTCAGGGACTGTTGGGAGACAAGAATGGTAACCCTTGGCACTCTGCCTGTACCTGGCCTAGCCATACCCCTTTGGCTGAAACCCAAGTCACAACTTTTTGCCTGCTTTTAAACCTGCAGAGGCTCTTCTCAGAGGAGGAGTTCTGGGTGGGTGGAATATCTGGTTTTCCTCCAGAATTTGGGAGATGTAGGCAAAGGTGGGAAAGGGTACAGGAAACCTAGAAGGGTGGGGTCCCAGTGGGGAACCACGTTCTTAAATAAAGCCACTGGCTCATTGCTCTGTATGTCTGAGGAATGGCGCCAAGTTGGCATCAGAAGGTGAATTGCAATGGCTGATTTCCTGGAAAGGAAACTGAGGCCCAGGGCCACACAGCACAATACACGAGAGTGTGCTGTCCATGGTCCTGCTCCTGCCTTATCCCAGACCCAGGAAAGGTTCTTGTGGGATGGCCACTTGGGGGATAAGCCCCACCCTTTGCTAAGGCCACGCCCCTTCAATTCGTGGGCTCTAGGCCCCACCCGGCTCTTTGCTAGCCCAATTGTTGTATCTAGGCCCCGCCCTCCTGCCGTAATAGGCTGTCCTCTAAGAGGCCCACCCAACTAACCACACGTGGAGGGTGGGCCCCGCCTCACTCACTGATTGGCTGGTCCTCCAGGAAACGTACATTGTGCAGTGCCTCACCCTGCTTGGCTCGCAGGTTCTGAAGCCAGAATCTGATGATGCTCTGGCGCTCCTGCAGGGGACAGGGCATGAGTACAGCGAGTAACTGCCTGCAGACTAGGGATGTGCAGGATGTGCGCTGCGGGCTAAGCCTGCACACCTGGGAGGTGAAGAAGCGTAGCTCACTCTCCACGTTCTCATAGATAAAGTCCTCCTCGCAGGAGAAGCCGCGGGTACCCCCTCCAAACTCAGCCTTCACTGCTTTACGCAGACCCAGCTCGTCGGCCCCTCGGAGTAGGCTGCGGGAAGGCAGGGGAGGCGGATCACGGGAAGACCCTGGCTCACCATCCTGGAGCTAGGGATGGTGCACCTGGCGGCCGCCTGAGTCATAGAGCGGCTGGACCTTGTAGTTGGTGCTTGGAAAAGCAGGGAGCTGGGTGTCAGGGTCAGCGAGAGGCCAGGGCCAGGGACTCGCCTCTCATATGTGGCGGTGACGAAGAAGGCATAGGCACGCGTGTGGCGGTGGTGGCGGACTTGCACTATGAGCTCAGGGATGCCCACACGGATGTGGTTCAGCAGCCATAGCAGCGTGTGGTCATCCGTTGTATCTGCCAAGGGACGCAGGGGCTTATGACTCTTGCCAGGATGGGTACGAGGCCTCTTACAGACTCCCACTCAGGGGAGCCCAACTCAGGGGAGCCCGGTCTGAGCACTGTGCTGGTGGGCACAGGTACCTGGGAAGGTCATCAGTACGTCGCAGTTCTCCGTGGGCACAGTCTTCATCCAAGCCTTGTGGGACACCAGGTATCGACCCGCTTGCAAGAGCCGCTTCCCAAAAAGCTTATCTGGGGGACAGACCGGGGTCAGGCCACTTCTGGACCAGGAGCCTGGCCTCCAGCCCTTGCCCCTGCTCACACTCTCGCCAGGGCTCCTGGGCACTCTGCCTGGCTTTCAAGGCCCTGCAAGCTCTCGCCTTGGCTTGTTTCCTTGCCTTCAAGCCCCTGCACCAGCAGAACCCTCCTCCAGGAACGCCCTTCCCCTAGAACCTCTTACAAATCTTACTCATTCTTGATGCCCAGCTCTGCCTCCGAAACCATAATTGATGGGGCAGCTCACTCATAGTCCTGAGAGCTTCACCATATTATGTCAGCGAGTCCTCACATCTGGGTGTGGTTCTTACCCCCATTAGATAGGTGGGGAAACTGAGGTCCAAAGCATTTAAGTCACGCGCCCAAGGTCACACAGCGGAGCTGGGGTTCGAACCCAAAACTGTATGATTCTGTACCCTTTGCGGAGGGGAACTCTCAAGCGCATCCCTGCCTGGCTGCGATCCGTAGCCCAAAGAGTGACCGGGCTTAGCCTGGAGTCTGGGCTCTAGGAGGGGCGTGTCCGTGTCTCTACGCTGGGACCCCCACCCGCTGCACCGTTCTGGCGGCGCCTGCTCTGCCGCAGCCGCAGTGCCAGGCCCCTCCACTGGACTCCAGGCCGGAGTCAGCTGACCCCAATTCCCCTCCCCGTCCAGCCGCCGCGCGTACCCCAGGCACCTGCAACCCTGACTGATGCAGCCGCCGCACACCTACCCAGAACTCCGGACGCCGGGGCTGCAGGCTCGCCCTCTGGCGGGGGCCTCTTGCCCCGCTCGCCCTCCAGGGACGTGCCCCCAGCTCCAGAGGTAGCTTCGGCCATGGCAAGGGCAGGGGAGGGCAGGTCAGCGGCTGCGGGCGGCCGAGGCGCCGGGGGTCCGCGAGCGCATGGGGCCGGTGCAGCCGCGTAGCGCGCCAGAGGAGGAAACAAAGGCCGCGCCCGCCCGCGCCAGCCGCCGTCCCGGCGTGCCCGAGCGCTGCTTCTCGTCCCCGCCCGCGCCGAACCTGAGTCTCCTGCTCGCCCAGCGCGCGTCGCACTCGGGTTCTCGATTCCGCCCTAGTTGTTTTCAGGGTTTGGTTCTCGCCCGCCTACTTCGCGCTCTGGTGCTCGTTCCCGCCCGCACCGAAGGTGCATTCCCTCCATGTCCCCGCCTGAGCCAGATTCTGGGTTTCATCTCCGCCCGCCCCAGATTCTCCGCCTGAGTTTCCCCATCTGAAAAGGCGCTTTTGGAATCTGAGAAGGGCGTGAGCTGACTACAACAAGAGGTTAAGAGGGGGCGGCCTGGTCTGGGGAAATTCTGGGTAATAACTTCAACTACCAAAGCAGGAATGTGAATAATTATAGCAGGTCCTGTTTCAGGGCCTTAGCCCAAGCCCTAGGACACTGCCCAAGACGTCCTTCACCACCTCTTCCTCCAGTCCACCCGTGCATCCATCAGGATGTAACTAACCTTCTCAGAAAGGACTGGATAGAGTTGCCAGTTTAGCAAATAAAAATATAGTCCTCCCAGTTAGATATGTTATCCTAAAAATAAAAGACCTTTCTAATTGAGAAGCAAAAATAATTTATTTGAGATCAATAAGAATGGCTATTTGGGAAGGACTGATTAGGGCAGAGGCCCAAATAATGTTGCAATTAAGAAACAAAGGCAATGGGTATTTATGAGAAAGAGAAAGCGAACAATTACATCAATAGCAGGAAGGCATTTCTTTTTTCTTTTTTTAAAAATATATCTTTATTGATTTCTGAGAGAGGAAAGGAGAGGGAGGGAGAGAGATAGAAACATCAATGATGAGAGAGTTATTGATTGGCTGCCTCCTGCACGCCCCCGACTGGGGATCAAGCCTGCAACCTGGCATGTGCCTGTCCAGGAATCCAACCGCGATCGCCTGGATAATAGGTGGATGCTCAACAGCTGAGCCACCCCGGCCCAGGCAGGAAGGCATTTCTATTGGTGCGGATAACATAACATAGTGACATTAACTCTAAACAATGTTTTAAAATTTCAGTGCAGTAGTCATAATATCTTTCTTGTTATCTTTGCAAACTTCTTTGGAAAACAAATTTGCTTAGACCCAGTCCAAAAGGTAGATTTGCCCTGTTTTAACATTCCAAATGTTTGAGGCATAAGACATGCCTCAGTTCCTCTGGGATGGCAGCTTCCACTCCATTTTAATTTTACTTTCTCTTTTCCTTTGTCTCTGGTTTGTTTTTATTTATTTTTGTTTGTTTCATTTTTTTGTGCTCTTCTTTTCCTCGCTCCATTTTAAAATGACTCATTTAAAAGTTTATATTACTTTTGGTATTTTTTTAATTTTTTATGTTTTTATTGATTTTTATAGAGAGAGGAAGGAAGAGGGATAGATAGAAACATGGATGAGAAGGAAACATCATCAATTGGCTGCCTTCTGCACTCCCCCTCTTGGGGATCCAGCCTGCAACCCGGGCATATGCCCTTACCGGGAATCCAACAGTGACCTCCTGGTTCCTGGTGGACGCTCAACAACTGAGCAACACTGGCCGGGCTTTTTAACTTTTTAAAAATTGACAGAGAGAGAGAGTCTAGGAAGGAACATCCATTTGTTTTCCCACTCATTTGTGCATTCATTCGTTGCTTCTTGTTTATGCCCTGACCAGGGATGGAATCCACAACTTTGGCCTATGGGGACTACGCTCTAATCAACTGAATTGCCAGGCTAGGGCAGCTTATATCACTTTTTACAAATATGAGTTTCAGATAAGAGAATAAATTTTTAGTATGTCCCAAATATTACATGGGACACAACGTTATTAATTGCTTATCTGAAATTCACATTTAACTGGGCGTCCTGTATTTTGTCTGGCACCCAGAACTTCTGCCCATCCTGAGTTGCCTCTTCCCTTAGAGCCCAACGAGGGCAGGCGCCTGTTCTGGTTCTCAAAATGCACACGGTAGACACTTGGTGTATACTTGTGACAGATGGAGAACTCAGTGACAGCGAATACATTGTTCGTCCCTTTTCTACAAATTTAAAAGTTGAGCAGGGCGCGGCGTGGTAGGAATGAGAACTCTAGCCTGCCCGATTGATTCTTTCCTAAATGCAGGTGCGCTGCCCGCCCGCTCCGACCAAGAACCAGAGAATTGGCCATGCGATAGCGTCCCCGAGACCCCGCCCAGCCAGTGCCAGGAATTCCATCAGTTTTTTACTCCGCTATGATCCAGCGCTCTCCTGGATTAACCTGAAAGTAATCGCGAGGCTTACGTTTCTGACTTGGGGGAGGGTGTCCAGAGACTGAGGACATTCAGCTCTGCCGGAGCAGGAGGCGCCCTTGTAGCTAGGCCCCGAGGATGAATTTGCCAAGTGAGGAAGGGTTTTCGAGGCCGAGGAAGCGGCGGGAGAGAAAGCTGGGAAGGGGTGAAAACCTGGAGAGTTCCAGGAAAACAAGTAGGCACCTTCCCAAAAGTTTGGACAGGATTTGCCCAGCGCCGGTGAGTTTCCTGGAACTCATTCCCCTGGGCCACTGAAATGTTCTTGCTTCACTTAATGCCACGGAGTAGCTTGGTAGAAAAACGGGACTCGAGTCCTCGCCTCTCGGTAATTCCTGCCGCCCTGTGCCCACATTCTTCCCATCGCTCATTTCCGGTATTTCGGATCCCCGCGGCTCTAGGATCCTAAAAATTCGGTCTAATGTTGCCAGGGGGAACGCCATTTCGCTGCAACCCTATGTGCAGTCCCTGCCTCTTTCCCAGGCACCAACCAATAGAAACGAAGATCCTCAGTGGGTGGCCAATGGTAGTCGAGAATCCTTGAGTGCGGTACCACCGGTTGTGGAGTGGGCGGGGCCTCCTGTCTGAACTCCAAACCCCTAGGCTGGGCGGGCAGGCTGGAATCCATGTGGCGGGGGCTCTGGACCCTGGTAGCCCGGGCGGCACGTGGGCCTTTCAGGTGGGATACTGGGGGAAGGGGTGTGACAGCATGGGGCGTTGCTTGGGCCCCAAATCCTCTCTGCGGGGCCTGGGGGCTCAGTTTCCTGCGGCAGAGACACCTTTCGAGTTCTTCCATGCCCCAATCCATTCACTCCCCTGCAGCAGAGCCCACATCTAGGTCACCTGGCCTCAGAGTCCTCAATCTGGTCACCCTCTGACCTCATGCCCTCCAGTCTCCATTCCCCAGCCGCAGAGCCTTCCCCCACTAGCGGTATTTCTCCACCGTCGAATCCTCGATCCAACTGCCTGCTCTGCGGCAGAGCCACCGAGATGCACACTGACTGCCCTTTTCTGCCCCAGACCGTGCACGCGCCAGGGCAGCGGCGCCCTGGCTCCCGGACCCGGGGCCACCATTTTTGCGTTGAGCTCTGGCCAAGGCCGCTGTGGCATAGCTGTGATCCGGACCAGCGGTCCCGCCAGTGGCCATGCCCTCCGGAGCTTAACGGCGCCCCGGGACTTGCCCCCGGCCCGCAGGGCCTGCCTGCGCCTGCTCACCGACCCCCGCTCTGGGGAGCCGTTGGACCGCGCCTTAGTGCTCTGGTTCCCAGGTGAGGGTCTCCAGATCCCGAACCTTCTGTAGCTCCCATGACCCAGTAGACCACCTCAGGCGGTTGCCCAGGCTGTGCCCTCTGCCTCCTCGCCACACTAGGTCCCCAAAGTTTCACGGGTGAGGACTGTGTGGAGTTCCACGTGCATGGAGGCCCGGCAGTGGTGAGTGGCGTCCTGCAGGCCCTGGGTGAGTCTACAGTCTTGGGGTGGAGGTCTGGCCCTGCCAGTGGGCCTGGATGGGGGGCCAACGGCTCAGTACCCGGACCGTCCCGCAGGCAGGGTGCCAGGGCTGCGGCCTGCAGAGGCAGGTGAGTTCACCAGGCGGGCCTTCGCCCATGGGAAGTTGAACCTGACTGAGGTGGAGGGGCTGGCGGATCTGATCCATGCGGAAACCGAGGCACAGCGGCGGCAGGCCCTGAGGCAGCTGGACGGGGAGCTGGGTCATCTCTGCTGTGCCTGGGCCGAGACCATCACTAAGGCAAGTCCCCATTTGCTCCTTCCCTGCCTCAGAGAACCCACCTGTCCATCCCGTGGGTAAGAGCTTCTGGTCTATGAACCTCCAATATGACCCCTTAGGTTAGGCTGGACCTGGGCAAATTAGGGGACTGGGGGATGGGTTTCTGGGTGATAACACCATATACTTCCCCTCTCCCAGGCTCTGGCCCATGTAGAGGCCTATATCGACTTTGGGGAGGATGACAACCTGGAGGAGGGCATCCTGGAGCAAGGTGTGTTCGCCTGGGGGCCAGGGATGGTGACACCGGGCATCTCAGCCCCCAGAAGCTCCCTCACTCCCTCCCCTCTGCTTTCTTCCATCCACAGCTGACAGCCAAGTGCGAGAGCTGGAGGTGGCACTGAACACACATCTTCGAGATGCCAGGCGCGGGCAGAGGCTACGCTCAGGGGCGCACGTAGTGGTCACAGGACCCCCCAACGCGGGCAAGAGCAGCCTAGTAAACCTACTCAGTGCGTGGGACGTGGGCAGGGGCGGGGCCTGAGCTCTTCAGGTGTCAGGAAGGGGCCAGGGAGGGTAAAATCTCTGTCCAACCAGGGGCAGGAGCTTGGGAGAGGGGCTCCCTCGTGTTCACTGACTTCTGCCTGTTTCTCTGACCCCCTTCTGCTTCCCAGGCCGGAAGCCAGTGTCCATCGTGTCCCCAGAGCCGGGGACCACCCGCGATGTGCTGGAGATCCCTGTGGACCTGGCTGGGTTCCCAGCGCTCCTGAGCGACACGGCAGGGTTGCGGGAGGGCAAGGGGCCAGTGGAGCAGGAGGGTGTGCGGCGAGCCCGTGAGAGGTGGGTGGGCAGACAGGGTAGTGGGAAACGGGGCCCTTCCTCTCCCTATTGTATTTATTTTTCTTTCTTCCTGAATCAGAAATTTAACTGGGGACTCTGATTTAGGGAGGGCAGCCCTTAGATTTTGGCCTCTGCCTACATTTTCTGCTCCACCCCCAATGTTCTGCTTGGTTCCCACACTCAGCGCAACCCAATGCCCGTAATTGCCCTACTCTGGGGTCACTCAGTTGGTTCTCCCTGCTTCCCCAGGCTGGAGCAGGCTGACCTCATTCTGGCTGTGCTGGACGCCTCTGACCTGGCATCTCCGTCCAGCTGCGACTTCCTGGACACGGTTGTCACCCCCGCGATAGCTCAGAGCCCCAACGGGAACAGCCAGCGCCTGTTGCTGGTGCTGAACAAATCGGACCTGCTGCCCTCTGGGGGCCCAGACCTCAGCCCTGAACTCCCTCCCCACCTGCTGCTGTCCTGCCTGACTGGGGAGGGGCTAGACGGCCTCTTGGAGGCACTGAGGAAGGAGTTGGCTGCAGTGTGAGCCTCACCTTGCCTGTCCCACAGCCTCCACCCAAGTTCAAGGGTGGGGGCTGAGCCATGGCTCTGGAGACATACCTGCCTGCAGGCTCAGTTCCTATATCTGCAGAATGAATATAATCATCCCCTCCTTTGATTGGTATGAAGTTAAGAGACACTGTTCTTTATCTCTTGCAGGTGTGGAAACCCATCCACAGGCCCACCGCTTCTGACGCGGGCAAGGCACCAGCATCACCTCCAGGGTTGCCTGGATGCCCTTGGCCACTACAAGCAAGCTAAAGATGTAGCTCTGGCAGCCGAGGCACTGCGGATTGCCCGGGGGCACCTGGCCTGCCTCACCAGTGGAGGGGGCACTGAAGAGATCCTGGATATCATCTTCCGGGACTTCTGCGTGGGCAAGTAAGGGGACTGCTGAAGCTTGGACCAGCTGTATGGACACTGAGAATCCTTGATACATCTGGGAATAGCTTAGGCCATGTGAGCTTCTCATTTCCTTGGGGAAGAACTTGATTGCAAAACAGTGAGTGAGCTCCCTGTTGCTGGTGGTGACCCAGCTCTAGCTGGCCAGATTCCCTCACAGGGACTTGCTGGGCGTTCAGGCCCTGGAGTGGGACTGAACAGAGGTCCCTTTGGGCATCTGATCCTGGGGAAATAGCAGTGAGGGTTGGGAGGGAGGGAGAAGGATCTCAGGGGTCTTTGTTTCATAGTTTTTAATGTATTTTGTAAATACCAAAGGAAAAAAATCTCAGATGACCTGGAAATGTTTAAACACGGAAATCTCTTCCCTCACCCCCACTGATGTCACAGCATAACTTGTGTCCTTCTAGAACTTCCTTTGAGTGTTTGTGTACTTGTGGGTGCACCTGTAAAATATGTTTTGTCTTATGTATTCTACATACATTGTGTGTTTACTGCTCTGCAAGTTGTCATTCCTTTTTTGGTATTAATCTTGAAACTTTGTCTCTTGTATCTTAAGTGACTTGCAAAACCCTGGGGGACCTACTTCCTTTCCAAGATTAGCCTTTCTTTTTTACTCCTCACCTGAGGATATTTTTTCCATTGCTGCTTTTCAGAGAGAGTGGAAGGGAGAGAGAGAATGAGAGAGAGAGAAACATCGATGTGTGACACATCGATTGGCCACCTCCAGCATGCGCCCTGATGCCCTGACCAGGGCTGGGGATCGAGCCTGCAACAAAGGTATGTGCCCTTGACCAGAATCGAACCTGGGACCCTTCAGTCCACAGGCTGACTCTCTAACCATTGAGGCAAACTGACTAGGGCCCAAGATTAGTCTTCACTGATTTTTTTTTTTTTTGATTTTTTTTTTACTTTTATTAGTATTTATTTTATGTTGAATTTACTCCTGGGCCATAAGTTTTTGTTTCTTCAGTTTCTCCTGGGATATCTTTTTCTTCTGTGCAACCTCCTCTTCTGGGTTAGGAACAACCTGCTCTTTTTCAGTAGGATCATCTCAATGTGGCAGGGAGAGCTCATGTATGGGTTAACCCGCCCATGAGCTCTGTAAGTTGTATGTTGCATCTTAGGCGCTTTGTTCATCTGGATGTGCTCAATGACCAGAGAATCTACATCTAAACCCTTAAGTTCAGCATTGCTCTCTGTGTTTTTAAGCATGTGCAGCAAAAATTCAGCAGTCCTTTTGGGCCACTGTTTTACCTGGGCACACCTACCAACTCCACCATGGTAACGATGGGATGGCACACATTGCTTCTGTAAAGTGACATCCTTCAGATACTTGGTAGCTTTTCGAATATGCGTACCCTTGATGGCCTGGGCTGTTTCACAAATGTTCTTAAAGTGAACACGAAGATTTGAACCTCTTGATTTGCATGATTTTGTGGGGTTTTCTGGGTCAAGTGAACAGCGAACTATTTTTAGAGGGCACCTCTGGCTTCTTTCAAGAAGAGAAGTCTTCATTGATTCATTCATTTATTTACTCACTTAGTGAGTATTTACCAAGGACCCTCTGTAGTCTAGAATTGTACACATCCCTTTACTGGATCTTCATAACAACACAATGCGGTGAACAGTTCTACAGATCAGGAAACAGACTCAGTAGTAGTTGGTTGGTGGAGGTCCCCAGCTTTGGGATTTGCACATAGGTCTGCTTGACTCTATTTTGAGTTTACTGTGGGTCTTCTGTGCAACAGGCTGACTGCAGGGTGCTGGGAACATGGATAGAAGCAAGCAGGTATCACCTCTCCTTGTTAGAGATATAGCTCCTTCCAGTGAGGTTTGATGGCTGCTGTGTGAATTTACAGTGAGGGGACATGGCCTGGTCAGGGATTTGTGGGCTGGATGCCCTGCAGAGCAGAGGTGACATATGCGCCGACATCCGAATGGTGAGAAGGAAACCAAATAGAGGAAGCTTGTGAGAGTGTCCCAGGCAAAGGGTACAGCACAGGCACTGAGGTGGGACATTGCCCTATGTTCAAGGAACAGGGAGGTGGCCAGTGTGGAGCAGAGTGAGTCTGGGAGAGAGGAGGGAGGCGAGTTCCAGGGGAGGAAGGCCTGACAGTGAGGCCTGTGATTCAGGGACTTATGGGGGACCTGCTATGGTCATGACAAGCCAGCAGAGGGCGCCTTGCTCTAACAAAGAAGGTGCCCGGCAGTCCGCCAGGACTCCAGCCTGCTAGGGTCCCGGGGATCCAGGCAGTTTATCAATGGTCAACTTCCCTTGCCAGAAGTGAAAACTGAGTCTCAAATAAGGTCAGCATCTTTTTCAGACTCAGAGAAAGATCACCTCCAGTGGTTGAAGATACAATCTCAGATTCCAGGGGACATATGAACAGAGGCTGGGAGGTGTGTAGGGCCCGCAAAGGGTATGAAAGGGTCTTCAGGAGGCTCCCATCACCCAACTAACTAAAGGGTACTCCCCAATACCATGTCTTCATGGACTTCATGGAAATATGTCACTTTTTATTGATTTCTTTCCTTATTCAGCAGTTGGGATGGCCCCTGAATGAAGAGCTACTGGATGGAAGGGGTTACTCTGAGAGCCGAGTCCATGGGTATTACAATTACGCCCATTTTGCAGAAAAGCAACTGATGCTCAGAGAAGAAAAGCAATAATGTAGGTCCAGTGGGGGTAGTTGTCCAGATGTCACAACATGGGGAAGGTCTGGAGGGCTCCCAGGAAGTGTGAGCAGGGTCCAGGTGGGGAGGGAGAGGCTCTTGGGGCAGGATGCCTGAGCCCCCGCCTGCCTCCCCCTAGGACCTGGCACAGGGCTGGACCAAGGTCCTTGGCTACAGTCCCTTTTTTCCAAGAAGGGTGAGGTGGTTTGTGGGAAGCAGCCATGGTTTTTTTTCATAGAGGTCACAGGAAATCCCCAAAGAGTCAGAACCTCACCCAGCGGCTGGACCATAGAGTCAGGGAGGGGGTCTGCCAATTACTCCCAACTGGTACTCGATCCCTGCCCTTCCCCAGAGAGCCACCAAGCCTGGGTGAGTCAGAGCTATAGAATCTGTCAGAAAGAGTGAGGGATGGGCTGGGGAGGCCCCAGGGGAAGTCAGGGCTATACCTGGGTCATCCAGGAGGGCTGCCTGGAGGTGGGACCTCTGAGGGTGGGCCTTGGAGGAAAAAGAATGTGTCAGGCAAGAAAAGGCATTCTTGTCAGAGGGCACAGCACAAATTACAATTAAGAGTCAATGAGTCTAGCCCAGCTGGTGTGGCTCAGTGGTTGAGTGTAAAGTGTCAACCCATGAACCAGGAGGTCATGGTTCCATTCCCCGTCAGGGCACACACCCAGGTTGCGGGCTTGATCCCCAGTAGGGAGCATGTAGAAGGCAGCCTATCCATGATTCTCTCTCATCATTGATGTTTCTATCTCTCTCTCTCCCTTCCTCTCTCTAAAATCAATAAAAAAATGTATTTTTAAAAAGAGTCAGTCTAGTCAGAGAACTAAATGTCCAGCCAGGATAGCTGAAGGATAGGGTTCATTGTGCAAAGGGGGAGGGGCACAAGAGAGCTGAGGAACTGGACTTGGTGCCCAGGGTAATCAGGAGCCATGGAGGGTATGGCCAACCAAGAGTTATAGACCCTTACCCAATGTCCAGAGAGTTTATAATGATTATATCACATTTATTTCTCAGATGAGAAAATGGAGGCTGAGATGGATTGAGCCAAGATTTGAATCGGGGATGTCTGGCTCTAGAACCCAAACTCTTATGGGGGCTGGGACTAGCAGGCCTCAGCTGGAAAGGACTTCAGGCTGATCAGGCAGTAGGCTTGTGGTCACAGGGATGTCCCCGCTTCCTTGGGGCCTCCAGACTGGTTCGTCTGGGCGCCCTGGCTTGGCTAACCCCCCTGCCCTAACTTGGCAGGGACCCCAGCCGAGTGTTTCCTGCAGCAGCTTCTCTCACCCGCATTTCCGTGTCCAGGAAGTATCGCTCCTTTGTCCTTCCAGACTTGCCTGCCCTAAGCGTGTGTTGCCAGCCCTGGCTCCTCATGACTCACCCCCCTCCCTGTTCTCTGTCCCAGGGGATGGGCTGGGAGGGAATCAAGGTCCGGTGGGGGGGGAGGGGTACAAGCTGAGATTCTAGATCACAATTTTTAGGTTGTTTTTCCGTCTGTGGCCATTTGCGCTTTTTTCCCCCCCTGGAGTTTTTATGTTTCAGGGATAAGGCCCCAGGAATGGGGTGACTGAGTCAAAGGGTTGGTGTATTTTTGCTTTTATTAAATATCACCAAACTAATTTCCAGAGGAGCTATGGTGAGATTTTCATTTCTACCAGTCCTGTAGGAAAACGCCCTTTTCTTTACATCTTCCCCAGCAGTAGGTATTATGGCTTTTAAACTTGCTCGGTCTCCTGAGTACAGTGTGATTTCCCTGTGTTTAACGTGCTTTTCCCCAGCTACCGGCTAGGCTAGTGATCATGGAGTTGAAACACTCCCAAAGCAGACTGCTGTCCTTTCTGACATCCCATCTTGCCACAAACAACAAAACAAAACAAATGGCCTAAGACTTTTGTGATTTTGTTCCTGGAATAATTTTGGCAAGGAGGAGTTCCTGCAATTCACGACAGGCTGTGGTAAACTGAGCAGAGCACTGTTGTCAAGACTTGGGGGAATCTTTGCAAATGTAGAAAAATGAAGGCTACAAATGGATAATCTGCTTTGTAAGAAACTGCCTCGTAACTATCTGCTGTTTTAAAGAAACATAAAATTGACAACAATGCTGTCTCTTCCCACACGGAGATGCCCAGACCTTGGGGGAAGGTGGTATACCCCCAAGTTTATTCTGAGTTGAAGGGTCTTCTGGCCAAGGGTCGTTGGGGCTGGGGTTCTCAGCTTTTATCTTCTTTCTAGTCTTTTCTTGCTCAAAGGCAGGTGGTGCCTTTTCAAAGCATAAATCATGACTTGAATCTTTGAAGGGATTGATAACATTTATTTAGTGCCACTAACATTTAGTAGGGACCACAGGCAAGGCTGGGTATGGGGGGAGAGGGAGTGAAGGAGTGCCCTTGCTAGCTATGAGGGGGCCTGTGGGCTATGTTTGCCCTTGAACCAGATTTTCCCTGGTGTGCGAGGAGGGCCTGGAAACTCTCGCAGGGATGGAGGTGAATGTCTTCCTGTTCTCACTTCCCCAGGCCTGAAGTACTGTGGGTGAGGAAGCGCGGGGGAGATAAGGGAATCAGGAGAGTGAGTGGCAGGGGCACAGGGAGGGCTGCGAGGGGATGCTGTGGGGGTCTTGGCCTGTGTGTAGAGGGGTGTGATACTGGGTCAGGGTTTGGTAGAAGTGTCTGTCAGGTCACCGTCTGTATGACATCATTGCCATGTCTGTGGGATGTTATTGTGGCAGCTGTGGGTGAGGGATTGTGGTGCAGGTGTGGGGCTGTGAGAGTATTAGGGGTTCTGGGTGGGGTGTGAGGACGAGCAGAGGGAGCAGGCCGAGGGCGCCCGCTGTGGTGCGTTTGCCCAGGGATTGCCTGGCTGCGTCCCACGCTGTGGTCATCTTGCTGCCACAGGTCTGCAGACAGGCCAGTTGGGACCACCCTTGGTCCCCAGGGCCTGGAGCTTTCTCAGACACTAGGGCAGAAAGGAGATGGGAATACAGCAGTGGATCAGACTGTTAGAAGGACAAACATTGCAGGGGGCTGCTTCCTCCTACCCCAGCCCCTTGTTGCTACCCAGAACTCCTTGGCTTTCAGGGCTCAAACTCCCCCATAGATTCCTACTTGTTGAACTTCTTTGGGATGGTGAGACTGAGATATCTGCCTCCTCATTATTACAGAAGTCAGAGGTTCAGAGAGGCCACCTCCAGGCCTCTGCCGCAGTCTGTCTGCCTCTCACCTTTACTCCCTAAGGCCCTGGGGATCCTAGGAGTTTGCCCTAAAGCCCCTGTCCACCCCCCCCC